CTCCTGTCCAGCTCCTGTCCAGCTCCTGTCCAACTCCTGTCCAACTCCTGTCCAGCTCCTGTCCAGCTCCTGTCCGGCCTGTCCGGCCTGCGGGGGCAGCGCTGGCCCTGCCGCGGCCCCATCGCCCGGGGAAGGGGCAGCGGGCGCGGAGGGGCTGAGCCCCTGCCCGGGGGTCGGGGCTGGAGGCCCATCTCCCGCGAGCCCACAGCACAGCACACATGTTAAACCTGCTGTGAAGCCCAAGGGTGAGGATCTGTCATTGTTTTCTCCCTTTCCATAGAATCCAGGCGTTTCTCTGTGCCTGGTGACAGCCCTGCCACACCAAGGATGCCCATCCCACGTGTCCCCCACGTCTCTCCACAGAGTAACGAGATGCCACCTCTGCATTCCACACATGGTGTATGAGAGGCACAGAGCAGCCAGGTTGTTCCCAAACAGGACTTGCCCCAGCTCCTAATGATCCAAAGCAGCTCCTGAGCCTCTGTGGTCTCAGCAATGTGTTGGTGGAGGCACAGGATCTGCATCTGTAGTTCTGAAGGTTTTTTCCTCTTTGTTTTGCCATCTGACCTGAAATTTGAGGAAACATCCTCACTGTTTGTTTGTTTGTTTGTTTTTCCCTGGGTATACAAAAAATTGCTGCTCAGCATCAAACTGTGATTTGTAAATAGTGCTGAGAACTATAATAATTACACTTATAATAACAAAGTTGGTCTGTTGTTGATATTATTAAAAACATCAGCAACTGCAGCAGGCTGCTGTAGCTGTGTGAATCCAGTTTGTCTAAGTCAGATGTAAAATCATCTTTTGGCTTTTCAGTTTATCACTTTAATGCACAAAACTTTTTCTGCCTTTCGAACCCAGGAGATACTCTCTGCCTCCTGCCCTACAGGTCTCTCCTCATTTCCTGCATCCTGCTAAACGTAATTTTCTGCCCAGGTTTGGGAAGAAAAGCTTTTGGCTCATTTGTGCCCATGCTGGTTGATGGGTGCACTGGTTCTGTGGGTGGGATACGCTGGGACAAAGCCCTGCTGCTGCACCCAGTGTTTGCTTGATGGGTTCTGTGCCTGCATATCAGCCTGTGGGAGAAAGAACTGACCACAGGAGGACAGGATGGGGGTGTGAGGGTCGGATCCTGCCCTGGGCCCACTGTTGCCCCGGCTATGCAGCGCTTGGTTCTGATAATAATATTCCAGGAACATTTAAATAACAGTTTTTACAATAAATTTCAGGTCCATATCATTAGATTACTTTCTATGCACTGATCTCTCATCTGATTTTAGGTATTTTCTACGTGGTTGTATAAAATCTTCATCAGAGTCCTCAGTTATTTCACCATCATCCTCTTCCTGATCAAATTCAGGGAAAGGCTGGAAGGTCCTGTCTGGGTAGGTCTCTGGAAGTTTATCTTCAAAGTATAATGCAACTGCAGGGCTGACATTTGCAGTGGGGACCCAGCCCAAGGACTTCCCCATGTTTTCCAGAATGATCTGACACTGTGTGACCTGATTTGGTTACTGGGAGTTACAGGAGATGTGCTCCCAGAATGGATGGAGTCATCCCATAGGAAGGGAATGGAGCTCAATTGCCTGCTCATAGAAATGTAAAGCTTCTCCCTTTGCAATTCTCCTTTCTTGTACTTTCCTGCTAAGGCAGTAAAACCATATACTTCCCATGCCTACAATCCCATTTGTTTTCCTTTTTTCCTCTGAAGGCGACCTCTCTGAGGAGCCCTTAACCTCCCCCTGCCTTTTCCTCTGTTACACAGAGCTGCTCTCTGCTGTTTGTCACCCACCAAGGGAGGTGCAATGAAACGCTTCTTGCAAGCGCTCAATAGACTGGGACGGCAAATTTGGTAGCCAGGCAAATAAAAATATAAAAAACCAGATAACTCTGGAAACTGATAAGAGGATTCTATTTACACAATGACCTATCAAACTAGTAAGAAGGAGGAAATTGCTTAATTTTATGTGCACCAAGTGACCACCTTCAGCAGAATTATTAACTCCACGCTCCTGGTGTGTTTAATGCTGGGGAGCAGAGGAATTACCCAATCTGTTGTTAAACCATTATCACAGGACGTCAGGTGGATATTTATTATCATTCCATGCAGTTCCTTCCACAGCTTCTCTGAGAAATTTTATATTTTTTTTTAATTTTCTCTGAAATACCTGCATACATAAGGAGAGGGGAGTAGATTTTTGGGGGAAAGTATGTGCTGTGTTTACCTGCATCCAGTTCTCTCACTGCAGTGGCTGGAAGCGGTAACGTCCGCAGTACTGAGGCTGCTGAGATGTGTTCATCAGAATTTATATAATTTATTCAGCTACATTTGCAAACCAGGTTGGTTCTGGTGCAGGAGTCTTGTTCCCTGGCATGGGGCCGTTCCTGCGTTCCGCACGGGCTCAGGCCGTTGGTGTTGCACAGCAGAGGTGCTGCCAGTGGCACCATTTGTTGATAAAATGAAAACAAAGCCAGGAGTTGAGTATTTCCTTAGGATCTATTTGCTGCTTGAAATCAAATCCACTTCGTTGTTGTAGTTTGGTCCGTGGCCAGCTCGGTGGTGTGGGGCAGCTCGGGGTTTGTTGCCTTCGAGATGTGCTGGGTTTTGTTATCCACAGCCCCGACTTTGTTCGTGCCACAAAGGGGCTGATGGCTCAAACTGCAGGGACACAACAGAGCCCCGATTGTCATGAAAATGGGCAAAGCCTCGCTGGAGCCCAGGGAATTATGAAACTGTGGCTGTGGGTGGGAGAGCAAGAGTGAGGAAGGGCTGCCCCCTGTCCTGGGGCCACGTGGCTCTGCCAGCCCTGCTCTGCCCAAATTTGGGGTTTTCATCAAAGCTTTTAGGGATTGGCTGTGGTAAGTGATGGTACTGGAAGAAAGTGTCTTGAGAGACCTGCACTGGCCTGGCCTGGCACTGTTCAACCCATTCTGGCTCTGGCTCGTGACTCAAGTTTAGCTCTGTATTTCTGAAACTGTCACATATCTTAAGAATTCCTTCTGTTTGGAAGGGCAGCCTCATGGCACATGCCTGGGGAGAGGGGCAGCACCTCCTCTTGCTTCCCATGCCCATCCCTCATGGCTTTAAATCAGGACAATGAATCCCTTGCAGGCAGCAGTGCCACTTGCCCATTTTTGGGCAATGGGTTTGGCTTTTACTGTTATGAATTGGTGTCATTCTAAAATTTTAGATGTTGGTTACAGTAGCATCAGCTTTTTCCATCTGGCATGGGAATTGGCTGATTGAGGCCAAAATAAGAACCAGCCACTCTCTTTTTCCTTTTCCTAGACTTGCTACAAGGCTATTTGGGTCAGATGAGGGAATTCATCTTCCCTGTCTCTTTGCCTGCCTCTGCCCATTTCCAGTTTGGCTTCTGATTTTAAAGAATAGTTCCAGATCTCTGCAATTATTTTCTGCCCTTGGGGATTTATTATGGACAAACTGTGATGCGTATTTAATGCAAGTTTGAGCAATTTAGAAGATTTGGGTTGTTAGGGCAATCATCCCTTTTCCCAGCCAGGTTTTGTCTGTAATTGCAGTTTCAGAATTAGGAGGGGTTTTTTGGTTGTTTGGGGTTTTTTTTGGTGTATCTCTGTTTTGAGCCCCAACAGCAGTTGTGGGAGCAACTTTGTGTTATGCTGAGATTAAGTTGCTTTATTTCAGCCCTCTGTGTCCACATCACACCGCAGCGTTACAAAATAAGCTCTCTGCATTCTGGTCACACTTCTCCAAGGGGTGCCGGGAGCCAGCCGAGGGCTCACATGGGATGAAGAATGCAGAGCGTTGGGAGCAGCACAATTGCAAACAGCTGTGTCAATAGTGCAGCCAGGCCTGGCTTACCTTGGCCATGCGCTGCGAGGGCGGCGGCACCGGCTCTTGCACAGCCCAGCCCCGGGAACTGCCACGGTGAAGAGGAGAGGTCAGTCCAAGGAGCGTGTCACGGACCCACACGGCAACTGCACGGATTTACAGCGTCAGCAAACCAGAGTCTGGCCCGGTGCAGGGCGGGCTGGCAACAGCTTGCTCCTGCAAGTGCACCTGCTGTGCAGAAATGCTGGGTTAAAACAGGATTATGAGTAGAGAGAATCACGGAAGGGTTGAGGTTGGGGTTGGGGTTGGCAGGGACCTCTGTGGCCAGAGCCCTGCCCAGGTGGTGTCAGCCAGAGCAGGGTGCCTGGGCTGCCAGGAGGATGCCACTGAGCTCTGCCCTGCATGCACACGAGGTTATTTGCATTGCTGGATGTCACCAGAAAGCAATACGATTTCAGGCTCGTGAAGAAGTGAAATATGACCTCTTTTGTTGCCTCTGTGCCTTGTTTATTCTAAGTCAGCCATTTCTGAGAGCGCGTTTAAACCCCACAGTCCTCAGGATGAGGAACAGAGCAGACTGTGGCTTCTGAGGAGAGCCAGTTTTGAGACATCCAGACATCTGGAGGACAGGTTGGATTGGGCATCAGCAGAAATGCTTTTGGGCATTCCCTTAAATGCTGCAGTGTGGTGAGCATTTGTTTGGGCTTGGTCAAACACAGCTGAGCACCAGGACAGTTTATCAGGCACCTCATGTCTGCAGCCCTAAGGACACGTGAACTGCACTGTAGCCCACTCCATGTTGACAGCAGCTCTGGCTGTGCCCTGGGAGTGCTCTGCCAGGCGTGGGCATGGGAAGGGGGTTTGCTCAAGAGCAACACAGTGCTACCTGGCCCACACTGGCCTGAGAGTGGCTGTGCCTGTTGGCTGGTGCTGCATGTGTCTGCTGAGTTGTCAAACCCATCGATCTCAAGTTCGCTTTTCACTTGTGATTGAAAACTAAACATCAGTTTTTGGCCAAGAGTTGTTATTAGTATAAAGAAATAATTTTTATAGAGTTACAGAATCCAGAACGGTTTGGGGTGGAAGTGACATTAAAGACCATCTCATTCTACCTTCTGCCATGGGCAGGGACACCTTCCACTAGATCAGGTTGCTCCAAGCCCTGTCCAACCTGGCCTTGAACACTTCCAGGGATGGGGCAGCCACAGCTTCTCTGTGCAACCTGTATTTTCACACTGGGGATCCCTCATTTTGCTGGGAGGGATGTGTGTCAGTGGTACCTGTTTCATACCACAGTGGGCAGTTCTCTTGACTGCCCTGGAAGTTGGTGGAAGGACTGTGTGTGCAAAGTGGTGGCCACACTCTGTCTTGGGACTGGTGGCCAGTGGGGACAGCCGGTGGCTTATGGCCGTGGCCAATGGCTGGTGGCTGATGGTCAGTGGTGATGGCTGGTGGTCAATGGACGGTGGTTGGTGGTGATGGCCAGTGTCCAACAGCTGGTGGCTACTGCCTGGGCTGTGCCTGTGGCGGGGGCAGTGGTTGGTCAGTCAGTCGGTCGGTCAGTCGGGTGGTTAGTTGGTCTGTTGATCAGTCTGTCCATCAGATGGTTGATCAGTTGGTCTGTCAGGCAGTCAGGTCTGGCAGTCTGTGGGTCGATCTGTCAGTTGGTCAGTCAGTTGGTGTGTCAGTCTGTCTGTCAGTCGGTCTGTAGGTCTCTCTGTCAGTCAGTCAGTCGATGTGTCAGTCTGTGAGTCGGTCTGTCTGTCAGTCAGTCTGTAGGTCTCTGTCAGTCAGTCAGTCGATGTGTCAGTTGGTTGGTGTGTCAGTCTGTGGGTCAGTCTGTCTGTCAGTCGGTCTGTAAGTCTCTCTGTCAGTCCGTCAGTCGATGTGTCAGTCTGTGGGTCGGTCTCTCTGTTGGTCGGTTGGTCTGTCAGTTTATGGGTCAGTCAGTCTGTCAGTCAGTCAGTCTGTCAGTCAGTCGGTCGGTGTGTCAGTCTGTGGGTCAGTCTGTCAGTTAGTCAGTCTGTCAGTCGGTCAGTCTGTCAGTCGGTCGGTCTGTCGGTCTGTCAGTCTGTCAGTCGGCCGGTCGGTCTGTCAGTCGGTCGGTCTGTCAGTCGGTCTGTCAGTCGGTCGGTCTGTCAGTCAGTCTGTCAGTCGGTCAGTCTGTCAGTCGGTCTGTCGGTCGGTCGGTGTGTCGGCCCGGCCCCCCCGCGGGCCGGGGCGGCGGGGGCGGCGCTGACATCACGTCGTTAGCATAGGGCGGCCCGCGGCGGCGGCGATGGCCGAGCGGGGCTGCCCGGCCGCCGCCGCCATGAGGCGGCCCTAGAGCCGGCCGGGGATGAAGCGGGACTCGACCTGCATGGAAGGTGAGCGGGGCCGGGCCTTTGTCCGGGCGGTGCCGCGGAGGCTGCGCGGGCCCGGGGCCGCCGCCCCCCGGCGATACCGGCCCGGGGCCGGCGGGGCTCGGAGCGCGGCGTGCGGGTCGGGACCGTCCGGACCCGCGGGGGAGAAGGAGCCGGGCGGGCTTCCCCCTTTCCCTGCCTTTCTCCCGGCTCCCGGGGCGCGGGGCCGGGCAGAGCGGCCCCGGGCTGCGAACGGGATTATGCAATTAAAAAAAAAAAATGGGGAGGGCATTAGTTTGTTTTGTGGCTTACTTTGTTTATATTTTAAACTTCCTAATCCCTCCGACCATCTGGAGGAGCTTTTTTTAGTATCGTTAATTATTGATAGTATCGGGGTCACGGAGGCGCTCCATAGCGCCCGCCCGGCTCTCCCGGGACCGCCGCTGCCCCCCGGTATTTGCAGCTTTTTTTTACCCCCTGTGAGTGAAAACAGCGGCAAAGCTCCTCTTCAGAGTGAGGATGAAATATTTCAGGAGAGAACATGGTGTGTTTGGCAGCACACGTTGGAGAAGTCACTATTCCAGTTGTGCCCAGGCCCTGCTCCCTCAGCCCGGACTGCTGGGGGTGGGTTTAGGCTCAGATTTTCTTAATTCTGCATCGCTCTCGGTGGTTGCACATCTAGACAGCTTCATTAGGGCCAAGAGAATTGGTTTTAGGCAGGTAAGTCAGTTCTTCATATTATTGCTTTATAATGTATCAATTAAAAAAATTAATGGTCTAATTCAGACGTTAATTCGGATTTGCAGCCGCGCCGGAGCGAGGGCAGGGACCGTGCACGGAGCTGTATTTTTCTTAAATTGGATGAGAGAAAGTCGATCGCTCGGGAGAGCGACCGTAAGCCGGGAGCGGGTCCGTGAGCGGGGGCAGCGCGGCCGGACCCTCGTGCCTGTCCCCGGCTGCCGTCCCGGCCATCGGGCTCGTTCTGCTGCGCTGGCTTTTGTTCCAAACTCTTTGTGCAACAACTGGCCGGAGCGAGGGATCCATCCTCTGCCCATCCCGCACAATGGAGCGGGGTGAGGGTCCCGCGGCGCCCCGTGTCCCCCGGCCGCTCCCAGCCCCGCCGGGCTCCGTGGGGCGCGGGGGTGGGTGTCGGGGTGAGGGAGCACGGCCGGGGCTCCCCTGCCCGGGAGAAGTTGCATTTCACAGATGAGGTTTTGATATGCAAATGGAGATCGGTCCCAGGCCGGGGAAGGGTGATGGGTTTCATCAGCTGCCCGCTCTTGATTTATACCGACCCGAAAAAGAGCAGCTGATGATTTCTGGGTTTTTATGAGGGTTTTCTTTTGACTGAACTTTTCTTGGGCAGAAACAGAGTCAGGAGGGAATAAGACGGCGAGTTTGGGGTTTTACTGGAAAGCAAGAGCAGAGTGAGATGCACTGGCCATTCCTCTGGTTTCTCCTCTTTTCTTTCCAGTACTCACTCACTGCTTTTTAAAATGCGACTCTCTGTGAGAAGAACATCATTTTACAGTACAGAGAATAAGGTTGCAGGCCGCCTCTTTCTTTCTCCCCCCTCTTTTTTTTTTTTTTTTTTTTTTTTTTTTTTTTTTTTTTGCAGGAGGCTTGTCCATTTAAATTAACCTTTCTCCCAGCTGGGCACACAAATGTTTTTGTTTTAGTTCAGAGAGGGTTAATTCTATTCATCTCTCGCCAAGGCCGGCCTGATCCGGGGCAGCACAATCTGCTCTTTGAGCGGGGCTGGCCAGGCAGGACCCGGGTGCCTTCTCCCGCCTCCAGCGTGGGGCTGGGACCCCCGTGTGTGGGGTCGAGGGGGAGCACGAGTGGGACGCCCCAGCCCACTGTGTGCCGAGCTCGCTGCTGTCCCGAGCAGGGGCTGGCACACAGAAAATTTAATCCCTGTGTTCATCGATTGTAAGTTAAAAAAAAAAAAAAAAAGGCCCCTGAAGCAAAGGCGCCTGGTTTGGGGGTGGGCTTGTTTGGACAATGCGATGCTCTGCAGAGAGGGGGGAGTTCCTCCACTTCTGGGGCTTGATTTTCACAGGATGGTTTTCTTGAAGTAAAAATTGACAATGAAAAAAATCGTTAGGAAAAATAAGGGGAGAAAGAAACCCCAACACATCTGTTTGTGTTTGAGTCATCATCAGAGGCAAGAGGGGAGTGAGATGCTGTTGGGATTTAAGTAACACATGTGTGAGATCTCCCCCTCTGCCCTCCTTCCCCAAACAGCTGGTATTTAGCAGCTTGAGATTTAAACCCAGCTAAAGGGTGCTTCAGGGGGGTGTGATAGGGTCAGTTAATCAAGAAGCAACTAACAGGTACACAGTTGAAAAGATGTTAAATATATTAATGAATTGCAGTGCTGAGTGTTGCCTGTAATCTTTTTTTCAGTGACAAAAGATTTTCTTAGCTGTAAATCACATTCTGTTGTATAAATGGGATGTTTTGCTAGCAGCAGCTTGGCCTCCTCTTGCTTTCCAGCCAGACCAAATCTGTCCTGGGGTTTGGGTGAGGGACTGTGCCTTCACTTTTGGCCTCACTCTGGGAAATAAAGTCTTTGTTTCTCCTCCATCCTAAAGCACCGATATGGAGAATCTCACGAGCCAGCTGCACCAACACGCTGCCTGATTTCCAAGGTAAATCCTGCAGGGAGCTGTAGTTGCTGTAGAGTTTTAAGCTGGGTCTCCAGGGATGGGGTGATCCCCTCGCAGCCTGGGGAACTGCTGGGATGCAGCTGCACCTGGTCCCCTCCTGGAATGCAGCAGAACAGTGAAGGTGCTTCCCTTCACCTGCTCGGGGTGTTTGCCCTCAGGAGTGACAGGGAGTGGTGACAGGGGCTTGCCTGGGAGCTGGGGGTGTATTCCCATACTTTTATTTGCTGTGTATTTTACAATCTCATTCATCCGCCCTGGTGCTTTCTCTCTGTGTCTTTGCCGTGTGTTTCAGCAGGATTTGAAGGTATTTCCTTTTGGAAATGCATAGCAATTTTCTTTTAAGAATTATCAAGATTGTTCATTTTGCTGAGGGGAAAAGCAAGTCTTTTGAAAAATAAGTGTACTGCTTCTACCGTTTGCTTTATTAAATATAGAAAAGGGGAGATTCCTTCTCCCTCTCTTCCATCTTCTGTGACTCTTGTGTAACATCATCATATTCTTGGAGAATTTACATTGTATGTGGTATGAAACCTACCATGACCTCCGAAAACAATACATCCTTTAATGTGGCTTCGGGGAGGGGCTAGCGAGGGAGTAGCCATAAAAATCTTCAGGGTTCAAGATGAGGTTGAGATTTTTGTGAGTGCTTTTGTCGTAGCAGCAACTGTTTGATTTAGTGGCCCCTGCTACAATGGGTTGGGAGAACAAAGCCAGAATATCCCGTGTATGAGTTTGTTAAATGTAAGACCCATCAGGAAAACTGGGGAGGGGGGCAGGGGGCAGCTTCCTCAGCTCTCTCTCTGAGATAAAACATGTGCAAGGTATTTGAAAAAAAATTCATCTCAAACACTTTGTTTCCTAATCTGCCTTGTCTTGTGTAGCTTTTGAAACTGGAGGAATGAGCGAGATGAGAGGTGACAGAGCCATGAAGGAAGGCAGGCTTATTCACTTAAAAATGACTATCCTTAGTATGTGTTTTGATATTCTAATGAAATTTCAGGGTTAAGGGAGTTCAGAGCACCCCCAATGCAAAACTGCTTCAGATTTGCCCATGCTTTACCATTTCTGGGAAGTTTGCTGTGGTTCTGCCCTGGCTCTCCTGCCCTTTGCCTGCACCAACTATTGCATTAAGTAGGGTGAAAACAAGCAAAGGTCAGGGGCAGCAAACCCGTGGGCACGGGAATGATGTGGGCCTGGCCATGGTCCCTGCAGGATTTTTTAAACATGTAAACCCCTAAGACTTGGTGTAGGCCATCATTTTTCATCTCCCGGTTCTGTTGGAGCGTCAGTTTGCGGGGAGTGGGGACACCTCCGTGGTCCCTGGGGCCTGTGCCTTTGTTCACAGTGAGTGACGCTGCTCTACAGCAAATTTTAATCTGGAAACACACCCAAGGAACAGTTTCTGCGGGAGGCATGTGCAGTTCCTGTGGAGATGGGGCCGTTCACAGCACCTCGCCTGGGGATGGTGCAGGAAGGATTCTGGTTCTCCATCGCTTTAATCATCCAGGCTTCCCACGTTGGCCGGGTGACGGCCCTATTCTTCCCACAACAAAAAAAGCTGTGCCTGGAAATGAGCCTCCATGGGCTGCTCGGGTGAGGAGCGAGCCCTGGGTGCTCTGCCTGGTGCTGTGCCCAGCGCTGTGCCCGGTGCTGCCGTGTCCATGTGCTCCCTGCCT